AAAAGCCGTCCTTTGAATAATTGATCCTCAAAGGTATCCGTGGTTATACTAATTTGAAAAAAATCACCAGCATTAGAATTATCACCAAGGAAGAACTAGGAAAGCTGGGGCAGTAATTGACCTACATAACATCTGTATATAAGTTACAAAATGATACCCATTCCTCTGCACAGATAAAGCTGGCTCTGACCAGGCATGTTCAACTGTCATCTTCAGCTTAAAGAAACAACCACCAAATAAAATATATCAGGGCAGCAACTCTCTTTTATTTTATTGTTGTAGTGATATAAAGAGTTGGATGAACATTCCTAATTTGTGGGGGGGTGGGCAGGCGAGGTTGGCAGACCCCTGGAACTTGGGTAATGTTAAAGGAAGAGCTTTAGGATTTGAGTGAAAAATAAACTCCAAATATGATTTGAGGTATACAGTCTTACAGGAGAGCTACTGTTCTTCCTACTGCCCCAGCAACTCACACCATTGCTTTTAGGAGTTGTAGATGGGTGCCTTCAGCTCTCTGGGCTGACCACGCATGCCAGTGGCCCACCTGGGCTGGGATCATGGGGGCACCCTGCCCCCATTTTGCTAAACAGCATTTTCCTAATTGGGGCTGTATGGGGCTTCTCTACCCCCAAGCTCAATTAGTCATGGTTCTACTGGGGACTCTCTGCAGTGGTACTACTTTTGGGACAGTTTTCTTTCTGGGCCTTGAGGCTCTCTGAGTCATTCTTTGCAATCTAGCAGGAGGCCTTTCTTTGCAATCTAGCCATGCCTCTGCAACTCTTGCACTTTGCACAGCTGCAGACTTAACGCCATGTGAATGCTAAATGGGGGTATGGCCTATACCTTCTGGAGTGGTAGACCAAACCATACCTGGGTTCACTTGAGTCATAACTGAGTTGGCCAAAGAGAGTGAGGGAAGTACAGGGCAGTAAATGCTAAGATCCTACAGCCACCCAAAGCTTCTCTTTTGACACATATTTGTCTCCCAGGCTTTGGTACTCTGGGGCTATAATGGAAGATAATGTAGCAATAATTTCTGAAATGCTTTTGGTGTCATTCCTACATTGTCTTGATGAAATGCATGATGGGCATCTTATTTCCACTTATCCAAACTAATGTCCTTATCAAGTGGTACTTTGACCACACCTTTAATATTCTCTTCCAAACATGCTTTTTATTCTTCATAATCTGACTGAGCTGAAAATGTGACAAGTCTTTAAGTTCTATTTCCCTTTTAATTATAAACTCTATAATTTCTTTCTTCTTACATTTTATACAAGCAGTTAAGAAAAATCATGCTGTACCCTGAACACTTTGGATAGAGATGTCTTCTGCCAAGTATCCTACTTCATTGCCTTTAAATTCTGCCTTCCATAAAGTACTAGGACATGGACATAATTCAGTCAAGTTCTTTACTCCTTTGCAAAAAGAATGGCCTTTTTTTCCAGTTTCCATAAGATATTCCTCACTACTTTCTAAGACCTCATTAGAATGGTCTTTGCTGTCCATATTTCTTTTTTGTCTCTTTTTTTTCTTTTAAAGAGAGAGAGAGAGAGAGAGAGAGAGAATTTTTAATATTTATTTTTTAGTTTTCGGCGGACACAACAACTTTGTTTGTATGTGGTGCTGAGGATCAAACCCGGGCCACACGCATGCCAGGCAAGCGTGCTACCACTTGAGCCACATCCCCAGCCCTGTCCATATTTCTAAACTACATTTTGACTGTAACCACTTAGATAATCTCTAAGAAGGCTAAGGCTTTCTATAGGTCTTCTCTTCTGAGTTTCTACTAAAATCACCTATTATGCTGAATTCATGGCAATCTAGCCTTTTTCTAGAATGAGGAAATGCAAGAGAGAAGTGCAGACACATGATGCAAGATTTCTCGAAGCTTTGGCTTGGGGTGTGCATGTGATCATTTCTATTTGTCTAATACAAGTTATATTCCTGAGCATAATGTAACTATTCCAGCCTCTTCCCATTATCCAGTCCCCAAACCACTTCCACATTTTTAGATATTTGTTACAGCAAAAACCTACTTCTCTTATACCAATTTCTCAGTTGGTTTGTGCTGATATAACTAGTTACCAAAGACCAGGTAATTTTAGCACAGAAATTTATTTTTTCACAGTTCTGGACACTGGAAAGTCCAAAATCAAGACCCTGATGTATTTGGTGTCACTGTGAGACTTGGTCTCTCCTTCTAAAATGTGTCTTGTTGCTTCATTCTGCAAAGGGGACCAATGTTGTATCCTTACTTGGTGGAAGGGATCGAAAGACACAAAAGGGCCTAAGGTAGTTTCCTTCAGTCCTTTTGTAAGGCACTAGTTCAAGACCCCACTTCTTAAGCCCATCACAATGGGAAGTAGGTTTGAACATGAATTCTGGAGGGCACATAAACATTCCAATCCTTGCATAAACCTTTGCATTTGTATTCAGCAATGTAACTTATTTTTGTCAAACAGAATGAAAATGACAGTGTGCCAAATCCAAGCTGAGGCTTCAAGAAACCTTTCATGTTTCTGCTTGCTCTCTTGCACTTCTGGCACCACCATGAGAAACACTTGCCTGATAGGAGACCCATAGAAAAGGATAGACCCATAGAATCAAGCTGCCCCAGGCAAACTGAAACTGCATTAGAGGACCCAGACAACCCCAAAATGCAAGAGTGAATCCAATAAAGGTCAGACATCACACAAATGTGTGCATTATAATAATAAATGATTGTTTTCTTTAGGCACTGAGTTTGGGGCTGATTCATTACAGAATGACAGCTAATAGATACAACAGGAAATAGGGCAAATCCTCAGCATTCAAGTTTATGGATATTTCCACAAACAGCTGTCTTTGACCTGTAAAAACTCCCAATTTCTGCTTCTCTATACACAGTTCTAAATCCCTGAGGGAGACAAATAGCTGGGGAGGATACAATGGAATCTCAGAGAACATAAATCCTCTGTGTGCAGGGGCTAGAAAGCCTCCCCAAAGATGGCTGCCACAGCTGGACCATCTGCCCAGACAATACAGAGAGTGTGATTCCTCTTCCAACCTGCATTTCCTTGTACTGCTGATTATTAAACATCCCACTCCAGTCCCAGTACGACACCAGCAATCAAGAGAAGTAAATGATAATAACAGCAACATGCTGTCATCATCTCTGCTTCCTCTTTATCCAGTCCTGAAACCTTTTCACGATGCATTTCCCCCTCAGCATAGATGTTTAACCTCATTGGCAAAATGTGACTACGGGGCACTTATGTACTTTTATAAAAGGTTGTTTCCTTGGACAAGCTCAGGCTTGATCCTTTCTACTCAGAAGACAGCTGCTCTGTGACCTCAGGATCCTACACTTGACTAGTGAGGATGTGAGCCTTGTTCTGTGGGCTCTGTGGCCTCCTCCACAAGGTTTATTTGGAAGCCCAGTCCTGACCTTTAAAAATCCAGGTAAATTACTTTCACCAAGTCCTATTTACTCTTTCTAAGAATCTAATAGCTAGAATGATTTCCCCTTCCAGAAAAGGATTTGTTTGTGCTTACCTCTATTCTTTCCTTACATTGTACTATGTGAGGTTTTGAAATGATCTGAAAACAGCTTTCCTGGAGCTTGAGTAAAACCCACTACTGTATCATTTTTGGGGAACACTTTCTTCTTTTATGAAGATAGAACTAACTTGGCCTTTTGCCCATTTTAAGAAAAAGCACTATCTTTTTCTTTTTTTTTTTTTAATAAGAGCAAATGAATATTTCCAACTCTGTCTTTAGAGTTTAACTCAATTTGTTTCTAACACTACGCGTTTAACATCAAAAGAGGCTTTGACAATTAAGTTTTTAAAAATATAAAGACAAATTTTTTAGAAAAATCTCAAAAGTGCAAAAATTGTAAATGAAGTTTTCCTGTGTCTGGTTTTTATTTATCTTAAATTTAAAAAAACTACAAAGACTAACTTAAGTAATTCAATTAATAACTTTTAAAACTTATGCTACTTTTCTTACAATGGCTTCTTCCCGACCAACTCCCTATTTTGGAATCATACTACAACTTTTCTTCTAAAAACACATAAATAAATATGTTAGAAGAAACATATTTAAATCTTACCATTTTAGACTAGAACATGCTAACCAATTAATCAAATAATTGTAGTACATAAAATACTACACAAAATAAATTTAAATTGTATACTATGTGTAGAAGAACCCAAAAATGTTTTGCAATTCATTCATATACTTAGGGATAGAAAAAGGTATTTTCTTTTACAACTTTTCAAGCTATTGCAAAGGTGTGCAATTTCTGCGAATTTCAAAGCATTTACATACTTAGCCTTTATTTGGCCCCAAAGTTGTTTTTCTGTTTCACAACTTTAAGTTAAGTTTGATTTAAGATAACTACAAGTCCCCACAGGGTTAAAAACTTGGTCACAGTATAGGTGAAAAGAATAAAGATGAATGTCCTAAAAAGTAACTTTTTAATATCAGTCTTCCACCAAGAGGGCTAAGAAAATATACATTAGAAGTCATGGTTCTTTACCTGGTGGAGAACCCAACCCTTACTCCTGAAGAATCTTTCCCATTAGTAATACTGCCTGTATTGGACTGCTGTAGTTTTCCATTGAACTCAACCATCTGGCATGGTGATACTTGGAATCCGTTAAGGGATTCAGAAGTACCCTTCCTTACCTTCATTGTGGATTAGTAGTCCAATTTCCCCATGGTAGTCAGAGTCCATCACCCCAACCATCACAGTAACTCTCTTCTTCGTCTACTAACTTAAAAGTGTAAGGGAGCCCAAAGTGGCCAGATGGCCATCTTAACTTCAGTTCAGTGGAATGCTGTTTTGTCTCTGTGTAGAAGCATCACTCCCTATGGGATTAAGAGTCCCAGGCCAGCAGTGCAGAAATTTGAAGAAACAGACAGCAAAAAAATGTTGCTAGTGGGTCACTAGGGTTAATGATGAGTGGTATCATTCCTGTTCTCACTCCTTGATTCTTGGACCTTGAATCCAGGCCATAGAAGAACTATCATCACATATTGGAAAGTGATTTGCAACATAAACAGTCTTCTACAGAACCATGCCATCACCCTGAAAGATAATGCCAACCACTTGGTTCTGTAACTAAGTCTTCAAAGGCCATATCACCATTCTTTCAAACCAGTTGCTACAAGATGGTGGGGAACATGGCAAGACCAGTAAATTCCACGAGGAACCAACCCAGGTGAGTTCCTTGATTATAAAAAATACAATTGTCCTTGGACTATCATGACAGTGGATAGGCATTCAAAAGCCCATGGATGAAAGAAGCATGATATTCATGGAAGTGAAATCTCTACTCAAAGTGTCTATGCCAATATGAACAAAATGCTTTCCATGATGGGAGCAGTCCAATGGTATCAACCAAGAAGCTGGCTGGTGCCTCAAGGGAATGGCACCATATTGAGGACTCAGTGTTATTCTCTGCTGCTGGCAAGATTGCACACCAAGCAGTGACTGTAGCCAGTTTGATCTTGGTGAGTAGAAGTCCATATTGATGAGCTGAATGAAGCATGGCTTCCATTCCTGCCTCCATAGGCAATTGGTTTAATAGCCCAACAGAGAATGACATGGGTGGCTGGCGAAAGAGACTGTTAGCTACAGAAAGGATCAGTGTAACCACTGGAATATTAAAGCCCTCCTCTGTTGGTGTTACCTTTTGGAGAATATTCACATTAGACATATTTTCCTGTTTCTTGACCATTGAGAGAACTCTGTCCACATACTTTGTCACCAATTTTCTAATCATGTTCCCTCCAGGCCCTTGTCTATCCAGCTAACCACTTAGCCATACAGCACATAAACCGATGTAGAGTTACATATCCCATTTCTTTTTTGCAAACAAAGTGAGCCAACAGATAGACTTTTTGAAGTTATGTCCACTAAGAGGCTTGTGTTTTTCAACCCTCTGTCCTTCACAGATGTCCCAGGATGGGGCTGTAATGTTGCAGTTGTTCACATTCTGGTAGTACCTGAATATGATGCAGAAATATCAGTAAACAAGCCCTGATTCTTTTCTTGTTTGTCAAATAAGCATAGAAAACTCTCTGTGAGCCCATAGGTGAAGACTGGGAAGGAGAATAATCCCATTTTTGAATCACTTGGTAAATGAGCATGAGTAACAGACCTCAATCAGGAATTAATTGCTTCCAAAAATCCAAAGAAACCCAAAGAGCATGGTGGTTGTGTTTTGCTTATAGATGCAAACATTTATCTTTCATCTTAGAAGGGATATCTTGACATGCTCCACACCACTCAATCCCCAGAAATTTCACTGAGATGGGATGTCCTTGAATTTTTGTGGCATTTATTTTCCATCCTCTGGAACTCAGATGTCCAATAGCTGCTACTTCTTCCTCATTTAGTTCAATCTGCATAATGTTATCAAAGTAATGAACCGATGTGATGTTTTGTGGAAAGGAAAGGCAATAAAAAGCCTTGAAAACTAAAATTATGACATAGGAATTGAGAGTAAAAATACTCCTGTGGGATATGGAAAAAATGTTCAACATCACTAGCAATTAGAGAAATGCAAATTAAAACTACATTGAGATTTCATCTCACTCCAGTCAGAATGAGAATTATCAAGAACACAAATAACAATAGATGTTGGCAAGGATGTGGGGAAAATGGTACACGTATACGTTGCTAGTGGGACTGCAAATTGGTGCAAACTCTCTGGAAAACAGTATGGAGATTACTCAGAAAACTTGAAATAGAACCATTTGGAACAGTTATCCCACTCCTCAACATATACACAAAAGACTTAAAATCAGCATACTATAGTGACTCGGCCACAACAATGTCCATAGCAGCACAATGCAACAATTCACAATAGCTAAGCTATGAACAAACCTAGGTGCCCTTCCTTAGATGACTGGATAAAGAAAATGTAGTATATATACAAAGGAATATTACTCAGCCATGAAGAAGGATGAAATTGTGGCATTTGCCAAAAAATGGATGGAACTGGAGACTCATAGTAAGTGAAATAAGCCAATACCCCCCCCCCAAAAAAAACAAAGGCAAAATGTTCTCTCTGATATGCAGATGCTGACTCACAATAGGCAGTGGGTGGGGGAGGGAGGTTGTAGGTTCACTGGATCGGACAGGCAGGAATAGGCAGAAGGGAGTGGGGTGATAGGAATAGGAAAAACAGTAGAATGAATCAGATATAACTTTCCTATGTTCATATATTGTTAGGGTCTGTAAAGAAGTCAAGATGGCACCTGGCATTTTGCCAGAGGGAGTGGTTTGTGAAGTAACACCAGCAAACCATTAAGTGTGGAGATTCCTTATTGGTTTACTGCTGTATCTAGTTTATGTTAATTAAGATAAGCTTTGTGGAATGTATATATACTCCTCCTGTGCTACAATAAACGGCTCCCACTCCTGCTGTATCAATGTACACAAGTTGCTCGTCACCCCCCCCTGTTATTTTGCTGCAGCCGGACTGCGGCTATATATGAACACACAACCATTGTAACTCATATCATGTACAACCATAAGAATGGGAAATATGCATGTAAGATATGTCAAATGTACGTATGATATGTCAAAATGCATTCTACTGTTATGTATAACTAAAAAGAACACATAAAAAACACCCCTGTGGTAGAACAGTTAAGGCATTTTAGTGGCCTTTCCAGATGAACAAAAACAGCTTTTGTGATGAGCCTTATTGATAATAATAATAAAATGGCACTTACCAGATTAATAACTATATACCATGTGCCAAAAATAATGTTAATTTGCACAAACAGTAAAGCCACATCTGTACAGCAGCTATGCAGTGGTTTGAGTGTAGCTCCTCCAAAATTCGGGTATTGCAATGTGATAGTAGTAAGAAGTGGGGCCTGAAAGAGGTAATTAGGCCATGAGAGCTCCTCCCTCAGAATAAGGCCCTTACAGAAGAGGCATCGTGCGATGTTCCCTTGGTCTTGTTGACTATGTGAGGACAGAGCATTCCTCCCTTTATGAGAATGCAACTATGAGGCACCATCTTGGAAGCAAAGAAAAGCCCTCACCAGAAAACTAAAATTGCTGGTAACTTGATCTTGGACTTCCCAGCTTCCTCAACTATGAGAAATACACTTCTGTTCTTTATAAATTACCTAGTCTGTGGTATTATAACACAAAAAAAGACTAAGGAATGTGGCAATTGTAGCTACCACCTAGCTAATTTTAGGTAATCTACCACCATTCTTCAAAATCCATTTGTTTTCTGCACAGACCATATAAAAGAATTGAAAGGGAATGTTGTGGAATCACCCTCTCCATATTTTTCAAGTCCTGTTGGTAGCATTCATCCTTTTAAATCATGCAATCATGGAGGCTGAGAAGCCCCAAGTTTTGACCCAGGAAAATCAGTGGTATAAACTAGTCCAAGTCAAAAGATCTGAGAACAAAGAGAATTCATAGTAACTTAGTCCAAGGACAGGACAAGATGTCACAACTTGAACAGGCAGGCAGGAAGCAAAATGGAATGAACCCTTCCTTCTTCTACCTTCATGTTCTATTCAGGCCCTCAAGGAATTCCTTGATGACCATGCACATTGGAAAAGGCAATTTATTTTATTGAGTCTATCATTTCGAATGCTAACACGTTTACAGCCACACCCAGACATAATGTTTAGTCTGGGTACCTTGTTGGCACAATTTGACACATAGAATAATATCCCACCACAAACACTAGATTATCCAGTAAAGCAATGGATGTAGTATTTAAGACCATGGTGCAAGAGGACAGTTCCTGGATGGCCTTGACCAACTCAAATCTTTCTCTTATGCAGAATGTACTGAGAATACAACATCCTGAGATGAGGAATTTTCCAGAACAACCTGTGTCATGTCTTAATTCCTCCTAGAACAGAATGATTTGTAACACGTGCACTCACAAATCCAAGTAATGCTAAGAATATGAAACCCAGTGCAGAGTGCTTTTGGGGTCCTTCAGCTACAGTGTGAGGTGGGTCATGAACAAAGACTCCATCCACACTGGGCAGCTTCCCTGGGCCTTGGGGAAGGCCCTTACTGTGGATCCTAGGCGTCTGACTATCCTTTCTGATTATCCATGAGAAATACATTTTCCTTGCCTGATGGGCTATGTGTGTTTTCTGTCTGACAAGACTTATACTCTGGCAGTTTGATTTGTGCACAACCTCCTACCAGAGAGAGGAAACTTTGCACATGGTTCTGAATCAAGCCAAATTATTTTAATTCCTGCTTTGCTACCAGGTCCTGGGTAAGTTGCAAAATCTTTTTGTGTGTTGATTTTCTCATCTGTGAAACACAGGTAATAGTAGTGCCTACCTCACTGGGTAGTTGTGAGGACTAAATGCTTTATTACCAGCAGAAACACTTAGCACTGTGCCAGGCATAAAACAGAGCTTAATAAGTGTTAACTATTATTCATGTAGAGGGAAATGGAGTGCCAAGGCAAATACACATTGGGTTTGGTTTTAAATTCTGAGTAACTAAGGTCCTCAAATTGTCATTTACATCAATCACATTTTTTTTTTACTTGAAAACTTGCTTTATGAAACTCACTTGACTTAAAACTTTAATATGTACCAAAGAAAGACTTAAAAATACCTTTTCTTGTGTATTATTAGACTAATAAAAGAAATTCTGAAAGAGATTTAAACTCATTGTTTTCATAACCTATGCTATATAGCAGAAGCATTTACAGCAGAGGAGAATTATACATGATGCTATACTATAGATGGCCCTCATACATTTTAATTTGTTTTGATAAAAATGTATAGTGGTAGGTTTCCAGGTAAACTATTTGTTAAGTGCATTTCCTTTCAGTTATTCTAACCATTTTGCTTACTATAATTTGACCTCATTTTTACTCAAGAAAAGAAATCATTTATGGTAATTAGTTTTTCTAGTATTAAATTTATTTTTTAAATAATGTACTCTTCATCCTTCTGACAAATTCTAGTCTTTAAGTGTTGTCCTTTTTCCTCCTTTTTAGTTGTATCTTGTGACAATTTCCTTATTCTCTGTAGTCCACACACACATATACTTGCACATAGGCACACACATGCACACTCAAACAGGATGCAGGATTTTTAAATTTTTGTTTTTGCAGATATTTCTGTGTCTTTCTTGCTTCCTCCTTTGATTATCTTTTATTCTGCTCTATCCTACCCCAGTCTTCTATTCTCCTCTGTGTTCTCCTCTATGAATTAAATCATTAATAAAATAAATTCATTAACTTGCCAAGATCATGTTTAAGAACAAAAATCATTTGTGGCCAAAGAGAGAATACCAGCTGCTGTCATAGCAGAACAATGCAAAAACTTTTGTTTACATGGTAACTTAAAAGGTTAAATGTGAGTTGTAAGTTCTGCATTATCCTTAGAAGGATGCTCATTTATTAAAGTAAGGATACATATGTGTATCTAAGATGAAATACAAAATTTAAAAATTCAGATAGATGTCTATGAAATACAAACACAATTTCATTTATTTTTGATTACTAACATGCTGTAATCAAGGGAGAATTCATTATTCATTGATCATTCGATTTACTGTGACATGTGTTTCTTGCAGCAAGAGAGGAAAAACGGGTGAAGTCCACAGCATGGAATGACAGAACAGTTAGGAAACGGAATTTTATTTGCTCTTCTGCTGGGAAAGCTAATTACTTGTCCATTTGAGACCTTATGTCTTAATAAACATATAAACATATATTGAGTGAGATGTCAGTAACATCTGTGTGCTATTATAAAAGTCCTATAATTTATCATTGGGCACCAGCAGCTTTAATAAAGTCAGAAAACTTGAAGCAGCAGAAATAAAAGAAAGATTATAATCAGTAAAATTTTGAATTACTCATTCTATCTACAAATATTAGCCTATTTTGATGTATTAGCCATGTTTATATCTTTAAAAATGATGTATTTTCATGAATAGCTCTTTTTAAAGGAGAATAGCATTTGGTGCCCTGTTCAAATTCAGGAAAAGGAAATGGAATAGATCTCTTGCAGCCACTAAGTGAGGTTCATGTGTGAAGCTACAGTGATGAGAAATTTGAAACTGTGAACTTAGTCTTAACCACATTGACCTTCTTGAATATGTCATGCTTTTCCAGGGTCATGGCTTTTGCACTTGTGATTCCTGCTGCCTAGATGCCCTTCCCCAGATACATGCATAGCTTTCTGCTCAAATGTATTAATGGAGAAGGCTTTCCTGACACTCGACATAAATATATGGATCCCTCATCTTCATTTTTCTTCTTACCTTCATATCCTCATTGAGCAGTTCCACATCTATTTTGTTTAAAGCTGTTTTTTTCGTCCACTAGAATTTACTTTGTCCCTTTTTGTTTACTACATTCACTAACCCCTAGAAGACTATCTGGTAGGCATTAAGTAAATATTTCTTGTCAAGAAAGTAATTATGAAGCATTAATATTATTTATTTACTAAGACTAATATTATCTCAATGCTATGGAAGGTCAGTGTGAGAAATGAAAGATACAGTTCTTTTCTTCAAGATGCTTATAATCTATTTGGTGAGACAGGCCCATCACACATTGTGTTAGCTATCTATTGATGTGTAACAAATTATCCCAAAACATTAGTGGCTTAGGACAATAAACATTTATCATCTCACAGTTACTGTGGGTCAAGAATCTAGGAGCAGCATAGCCAGGTGGTTCTGGCTCAGGGTATTTCATGAGATTGCAGTCAAAACATGGGCCTAGCTTATGGTCATCTGAAAGCTTGGCTGAGTCTGGTAGATGACTTCTAGAGAGCCCTCCCACATGGCTGTAAAATTAGTGCTGATTGTCAGCAGGATGACTCAGTTTCACCCACAGAGACCTTTCAATAGTGTCGCTTGAGTTTCCTCATTATATGCCAGCTGAGACACCCAAAGGAGAACACAGTGTCTTTTATGACAGCCTTGAGGTCAACAATGTTCATGTTTGCAATGGCTACACAGGACAGTTTTGTTCACTGTGTAAGGGGACTGAATATGTAAGAATAAAAATACCAGCATGTGAGAACCATCTTGGATACTGGCTAGCCCACACATGAAATAAGTTACAAAACATATATAATCACGTGTAGGTGCTAAGATATGAAAACATTCAAAATTCAACTCGTTTTGAGAACTTGAACTTATAAAATTGGAAAGGTTAACTTGGATGGAAAAATTAATCCTTATTTGGGCAAGGATATTTGCTCCAGGAATTTTAATAACATAAACTCAATATGTGCATTTATGCAACAATTACTTAATAAGAACTTGCTTGCTGTGCTAGGTCCAAGGATTATAAAATCCATCAAGTCCTGACCCCTCATGTGGTAGTATTCATAATCTATTGTGTGTAAGGTTAAAATCATGGAGCAACAATGGTTTTGAATAAATTTAAATAGTTTGTGAAGGGGGTGGGTGGGTATTGGAGCTCGGAAAACAGTACTCAATGTGATGGCCTCAGAAATAGCCTTAGAAACAAAATTTTTCTCTGATCTTCTTTGGATCTTCTGTCTCTTGTCTCTATTCTCCTGATGTAAGTCACAGAAATTAGAATTTCTCTTCCCAAAGGTGGATCATGAGAACCAGAACATTTTCCCCAAATTCCAGCCATAAATCCTAAAGATATTCCTTTAACATTCCTCCTCTCTGTGTAAGAGTTTTCCATAAAGAAATCCTCTGATTTACTGGGTTCTATAGTAGATTATGAGACCTGCTACTCTAGAAAGGTCCCACGTTTCCCCACATAAGACTGTTCTAGATCACAAGCAGCTTCTGGGAGGGAGGAGTGCTACACAGAGATGGATAACAATCTGGACAGGCCTTGGTGGGTTCCCCTGCTCAGTCTGTTATCTTTGAATCATAAGCTTTTGTCTAATCACATTTCTACAGGGCAATTCATTTTTCATCTAATCTAAGTATAAAAATAGACAGTTTTCCTAGGTTATTTTAGTTCTTCATTTAAAAGGCTCTGTGTCATGAAAAACTATGACTGAATAAGATTGGTGTGCTTTTCTCTTATTAACTTGCCTTTGTTATAGGATGTTGGCCAAGATAAAAAGGTATCAAAACTTTCCTGATTAGTGGCAAGAACCATCATCCAAAGTCAAACATTATAAACAGAAACCATGAATACACAAACTAAGTACATCTGTGGATTAAAAAATTAGTTTTTATACTCTCATTTTATAACATTTTAATCTTTCCAATAAAGGCAGATTTTAGAAATTATCAACAGAGTATCTAATATAAAAAAATTCACTGATCATGATTACAAGCCATGACTATAATAAAAAGAAACTTTAGAAAATTTTTTCTGTTGCACCACCACTTCCCAATGCATGCACAAACTGAAATATAGCCTAGATTTTCAAATTCCAACAGTCCATCAGAATGTTTATCAGACTAATGACTCTCCACTGGTGTTTTCACAATGATTTACCAAAAGTCCATATAGCATCTGAATCAAGTGCCTATTATGTTTTTTAACACTACATTTTCTTCCTGTTAATGTCCTGATTTATTATTATAAGGCTCACTTTAAGATCCAAGTCTATGGCTTATACTAATGCCAATTTTCATCCCTCTTTACAGAATTAAGGAAAAAGCTACCCATCTTGTAGTCATTTATCCAGTGTCCTTTAAAGCCAAACTTAATCTAATATACTGTTATAAGAAAAGTAAAATTCAAAGCAGAGAAACCAAGAAAGGCAAATTTTAGAAATTATCTATTCTAGTCTTTAGAAACCAAAGACTAGCCTTGCAGAGAAAGACATACTCATATGCATCTGCTGGAAAATAAAAAGAATTGTAGACATAAAAAAAGCCTTAAAATCGTGTACATACTCTGACCAATCAATTCCTCTTCTGGGAATGACTGGGAAAAAATTTATAAGTGCATGGAAAGGCTGAATAACAAGAATTTTTGTGGCAAAGTGGTTTATAATTGTGAAAACAAATTAAATGTTCATCAACAGGGTGTTTCATTGTGTGGATAGAAATACAATAAAATTTTAGGGAATCAGTACAATCATGCTGTAGAACAATATTTTATGTCACATAAATATGTTCACAATATGTAGTTGAGTGAAAAAACACAATGGGATCATAGTTTATTGGATATAAGTTTGTAGTCATTTTAAAATTATCAGCAATGGTGTATCTCTTGTTCATTAGACTGCAGGTGACTTGCATTTTCTTATTGGTACTTCCTTCTTTGTTAATGAATAGGTGTAGTAGTCAGATTGCCCTTGCCCATATCTATGTCCTTTGGCAGTAACTCCCTCCCCATCTGACTCTGGATTTGATTTGGCTAAAGGGATATTAGCAACTGTGAAGCAAGCAGAGGCTTGGAAAGCACTTACATGGTGGGTCTTAATCTAACTCTTGTCCTTCAGTCATCTTCATGAGAACATGACTGGGCTAGCCTGCTAGAAGTGAAAGGTGGTATATGAAGCACTTTTAAATTGCCCACTGCTCTAGATAACAAGCAGCTTCTGGTCCCCATACACCTGGTTGAGCCAGACCAGATCCACAGAGCCATGCCCGAGTAGATCTGACTATAGACACAGTGAAACCTGCTGAAAGTGGCCAAACTGGGGAGTCTGCAGCGTTTGACACTAGCATTTTGAAGTTGCTTGCATTAGTGTAGTGTGTATTTGCTATAGGATGTTGGAAGGACTTAGAATAAAAAATCACCACCACCTTAGGTTCAAATCAAAGGTGTTTGGGTATATAACTTCTCAGAAAATATTTTTAGTACACTAAACTGACAGGAATTTAAAGTAAGTATTAAAACAGAAGTGATGTTCTAACATATGCAAGACACTAGTCTAAGCAGGTTACGAAGTGGAAGAAGAACACAAAACCCCTGCCTTCAGGACCTCACATTTCGAGTCAGAGACTGAGAGTTTCTTTGGAAACTCAAAGCAGCCTCAGAGAGTGACCAACAATTGTATGAATCCACTTCAGCACCAGAGCTATAAACTGCTGAAGTTGGTTAAAAATACATTAACTCTTTGCTAACATGATTCTGAGAGCCTGTTAAAATAAAAAAGGCTGCTCTAGCCACCCGATGAACTTGAAGTAATGAGGTCTATAAGTTGACTTGAACAGAAGAAAATGACAGTAAGCTTTCATGAAGGACAAATGAAAGTATATACCTGTAACCCTCTGACAGCCAGGGACTCTTTGCCATTTAAAAGTCTGCAGCTGTGGTGCATTATTACCAGGCGGCAGAGTTTAATAAGACTTTGCAGAGAACCTAACCTTCCAGTACCTGGCTGCCTGCTGGCAACCCTAAGGCACTCACTGTGGAAGCTGACAATCTGAGCTCACATCAGGGTGTGGATTTCTTCAGACTCAAGGGCGCAGGTTGGCACAATAATGTCAGCCGGCTGCCCTCTGATGCATGCCAATTGTAGAATGGTCTGATTCCAAGTCAGTCCCAGCACCCAGCATTCTTGACTGTTCAATTATAGACATTCTGGTAGTCTCTGCTCATCTCTATTGCAAAATCTCTTGGTGTGATATACAAGATCCTCCCTGGTATTCTCTCCTGCCTAGTGCAATCATAACTCGTGACATTCCTCCTCTCACACCCTGTACCCCTGCTCTCTAGTTACTTAGGTTAGTTACTTGCTGTTCCTACTTTTCTCATCTCTCTGCGTTCATCTGTG